TGCTTCCTTTCGGGGCCATATGCCTTTCCGGTCAGGAACTCAAGAAGGCCAGGGTGTGGCAACCACCACCACCAACACGAAAGGCACGGGCAAGAACGGAAAGGGGAAGGGGAAACAGGGCAAGGGCCACTCCTCCTGGAACCAATCTTGGGGTCACCAATCCCTGTGGCAGCCGAACGTTTGGAAGGATCAATGGAGTTCGCAGGACGTGCCAGACCTGGTCTACCGTCTGATTCAGCTGGCGATCAAAGACGAGTAGTTCTATCAACAGCTTGAAGCAGGACAAAACCTTGTAATTGTTTGTCAAGTCGGGATGCGAGGGACTGTTGCCGATTCTTTTCGATGCATGGGAAAGCGGAATCAGGTGCTGCGCGACAGTCCCCATCTGACCGAGGACTCGCTTCGACTGGTCTCTTCTGATCGAGATGAGCCACAGATTGAAGGCCAGCAAGACCAGCGAGCATGCGCTACAGTCAGCTCGGGAACTGGGATGGCTCGCGGAGAATGAGGAGTGGAAAACCCTAGCCTGGAATCCAGAGAGGAGTCGAGGAGATTGCAGGCGCACCCGCTCATCAGACGGACACCATCATGTCTCCCAAGCTACGGAGCTTCGCAAGCTGATCACGCCGTACATCCTGTATCGCTTCCAAGTTGATCAGAGGCCCCTCGCGCAATGATGCCGGCTTCAGCGGGGGCGAGACGGCCTGGCCTGTCTCAGCAAGCCCGCTCCTTTCGTCAATGGTGAAGTCAGGGCCGTGCTCTCCTCCTGTGCCCACTCCTCGCATGTGTTCCATGGCTGAACGGCCGCCGTTTTGCAGTGCTTCATGTGGCCGCTGCGGTGTGATCCGCAATGTGGTGGCCTTACTTCGGGGATGCTTATGGTATCCTTCAGACGACTACTATGGGCCTCGGTGGCTACTGGGTGGTCAGTCTTGGACACAGCATCCTTGCCAGAGCTTTTGACGTACCTCCTACATCATGTCCCTGGGTGCTCCACTCAAGGTTCTTGGGGCAGCGTCCGTCGTCCTCCGTCCTCCGTGTATAAAATCTCGGAGACAGAGATGGTGCATGACCGCATGCCCTTGGCGGTGTGGTCTGCCACTGCATGCCCCTCAACCAACCCATCCGGCCGCTCAGACATGTCGCTTCAGAAACGATGTACACAGCGCTTGAGTCCACTCCTGGAAGCTCCACACGGGCACTGATGGCCTGGACATGAGGGCATGGCATCACACTGCCAGTGCTTGCGCCTTCTGATGCGACTGTGCAACAACATCTGTACCAGGTGAGATCCATCATCGGTTGTTCTGACTTGTGCTGCCGCACTCGTCGCCCCTTTTTCCCTAGTCCTTAGGATTTAGTCCTGAGGCAACTCCCGCCGCTGTGCGGCTGTTTCAGTTTCTGAGCCTGGGCGCCTGACTCGCGCAGCTGACTGCTCTTGCCTTGGCTTTTGGGTTTAGTCCCGGTTTCCTCCCCCCTAGCTGTCACGGCACGCTGCGACTCGCCTCGCTGGTCGATCCCCCTTTCCCCCCCTTTCCCTGCTTCTAACCGCCTTCGGGATCTAGGTTGCTGCAGTCACCTACATACATGAGATCCATCATCTTCGAAAGTGTTATGCCAAACGGCACACTCCCTCACCGTGCATCGCGCAGCAAAATGCATGCCGACTCGCCCGTCCTTGCACTCCCGACTGACATGGATGGCTTGGCACCGAGAATCCTGGTACTTGTGCCAGGTCGACTTGGAGTGACAAGTCCAGATGCTACGACCATTGCGAACAACACTCATGCCCTACCGTGTTCTCTAGTGTGCCCTGTAAAGTGTATGGACAGTGTACATGTATGGGCCCAATGCATACTGAAGCCCCTTCGCAGCTGAAGATACAAAGAGGTGAGTTGCTTTTCTCGCATGTAGCCGAGCTCGGTCCTTTCTGGGGAAGCTCCTTAAACGTGTAACTGATACCGTTACCTGCGTCGGTAGCAGCAGCGGGTAACACCGCAAGCAAGCGGAGGCTTGCGGCTAGCTTGCTGGACTTGAGGGAGTCTTGCCAAAACCCTCGTTCTGGAAACATGACAAAAGACGAACCGCGCCGGCAGCGGTCGTGAAGTAAAGCGCCACGAAGAAAGATGCTAAAGGAACAAAGGGCTTTGGCAAGGGCAAAGGTGGCAATGACAAAAAGGGTTCCAAAGGGAAGCGTGGGCGCAGCGAGGCTGCGATCGAACGCCGAGCACCGCACGAACTGAGAGATTCCTGCAAGACGCAGAAGCGTTAGAGGAGCGTTAGGCCAACGATCTGTAGACGCGGTTGAAGGGCTCGAGCCCTGGCGCGGTGAGCCTCCTGCCTGCTCAGGAGAGCCTCTTGCACGATGGCCCCAAGCAGCAAGCTTTAGCAGCGGGAAGTGGATCCGACTTGTTAGAGATGGCCGGAACGTGATGTTGGTAATGATCTTCGTCCCCGATGTGATATCTTTGTGTGTCCTTTCCCGGCCACGGTTGATACCATTGGGTTGAACCACATGTGTATTCCCACGTCCCGTTCGTTGGCAGGCTTTTGCCCTTAAGCCTTTGCCCTGATATTACTCGCCGTTTCCCTTACCGCTCGACTGTTCTGACGCTGCTTTGGGACGCTTGGACGGATGTTCCGCCCGCCTGCCGCCGCCTGCTGGCTCTCACTCTCCTCTGGGCGTGCCCCGCAAAAATTCGCTTCCTCCTTGCCCAGATCCATGTCTCCAAGGGAGAAAACCATTGCACCAGACTTGAAGAAACGCACATATGCTTAGCATCGGGCACTGATTCTGTAGTTGCTTACCGTATCTGCATGGTAGAATGGTCATGCGTCTGAAACTCTGCAAGAGCACACGGCTGCCTTGTCTGGCCTCGAGCCATTCCGGGCGCACATGCGCTGTGTGGCATTTGATGCTCGCAGAATCAGCGGCCACTGGAGGCACAGCGGACAATTGATGCGTGAGGACTGACACAGCTGGTCCTACAGCAAGAACAGATGCTGGCGTCTCTTCGCCAGGATATCACCCTGCTGCACCTGTTCGTTCGGACAGGAGAGAAAGGTATGATACCGATACCCTTGATTTACCAGTCGGGGGAATGCTGGAGAAAAGAGGGAAAAATCGGCAAAGACCGCAACGGTTCTTTGCGTTCCCTCAAGATCGCCGTGTCGAAGCAACTCCTCTTCGAGCAGCACGCACGCTTCCACCTGGAACGCGAAAGACTGGACGTGTCCCTGCGTACTTGGATGATGTTACCATTCTTGCCAGTCAGACCTCGTCCTCAAACCGCCTCGCTTCACACCCGCCTCTCCTTGAACTTGTCGAAGACAGCCATCTGGAATGGGGCTGGAGTCGCTCCTGACGGCTTGCGTGCCCTCTGGGCCACTTACCGCATTTCGTTTGGGGACCCGTCGCTCACCTATGCCCAACGTGGACTCGTTTTGCTTGGAGCACCGTTCGGCGGTCCTGAGTTTGTGCAAGCACACTTGCAAAAAACACTGGAGCGGCAGGCCACTCTCCTCACCCAGTTGCCGAGCCTGCACGATTCACGAGCTCGCAAGCTTCAGTGGGTTGACGAGAACGGGCACTGGCGAATCCTCAAATGGAATCCAGCGGACAAGCAGCTTCAGGTGGACAACAGTCGTCCCAGTCGTACGACCGAGGAAATACTGTCGGAAGCAGTGCAGCTGAGAAAAGCGGCCACAGAAGAAGAAGAAGAAGCCATTCATCGATTCCGCAGCATGAGAAAGCTGACCCGAACCCGACGACGGAGTGGGTGCAGTTCCAGGTCGAAGTTTCCTTGCGCCCGCTCGGGGACCCAGCATGGCAGACACTGCAGAACCGGATCGGCCCAACGGCTTGGCATCTCATCGGATGTCGCCTAGACAAGCCAATGTGGAATGGCTTGGTGGAACGAGTGCGTAGCTCGCCTAATTGAAAGCCGTGCTCGAACTTGCGTTGAACAACAGCACCACCAATTTCTGCCATCTCAACACTTGCCAGGGGTGTGTGGATCAGTGGCGCCTTCAGGCCAACATACATGCGCTGGCATGGCCTGCACCACTAACCAGTATACAACTCCTGAGATTTCATGAGGATGACCAGGGCTTGCTGCAGCGCAATGTACGGCAAGGCCCATCTTATTACTATTACCAATCTTTCAGGCCAGGTTGGAACATCACCAATGATACCGAGCTCATGCCTCTTCCATGCCATTTTCTGGCATATGAGGTGCTCTCTATGGCCCTGCACTTCGGAGCTCGCCCTAGTGAAGGGCACTACAGGGCGAGTCTTTGCGGACGGAGTGGGTTCGGTGGGGAAAGAGGTGGATCACTGATGACAACAAAGCTGCAGTTCTGCACAATGGGAACATTGATGCTGCCAGCTACGTTGCCTGGCTGAGACGCACACCAGGTCTGGATCCCGAGTTCTGAAGCTTGATGAGAAGAGTGATGTTGATTGGAATGGATAGGTTTATGTAGATTGTCATCTGCCAAATGGGCTTGGCGCTGACTCCCTGAAAGTCCGGACCGACAACTGTCGGCTCGCTAGCTCGCTATGCAGACATCAGACGTCATGCGCCGTGGGGAATGAAAATGCCACTACTACTGCTACTAGTGCTACTGCTACTAGTCCTGCTGCTGCTGCTGCTCCTGCTGCTGCTACTGCTACTGCCTTCTAGGCCATCAGTCACGCAGCCAAGCAATCACAAGTTCTCAGCACAGGCCTCATTCAACTTGGCAAACTCGAAGAGTAATGCCGGCGCCTCTCGCTTTAACATGCCTGGCATGGGACTGGCAGCTGTGCTTTCCAAGCTGCTCCGTCGCGGTGCGGTGCCGCGGCTGTCCGGGCTGTCGGATTTTGATGCTCTTGTCGGAGAATTCGGCGTTAAAGGCAGTAATTACTTAAAGCATCAGTAGCCAGTGGAATCAGAAAAGAGTTGTCGAGAATCGCAGCCGGATCCCCGAAATTTTCGAGGCATCAGCTGCGGCTGGAGATGTTGCCACCTGGCTGGGCAGCGGGCCATCCCAACTTGCATGTGGTCTTTTATGCTTAAATGTAGTGTATGTGTGATGAGAAGCTGTGAAGCACGATCGGATGTTCGTGATTTCGCCGGTGATGACAACAAACGACCAAGGCTGCTGGTCCTAGCGTTTATGCCTATCGCTTATGGCTGCTCCATGTTTGTGGGTGATTTACCACACATCTGGGCAGTGCTCTGGATCATTCACACGTGTTTGATCTTCGTGCTCCTGGTGGTTGGCAGCTGGCTATACCTGTCAAATTCATTGCAGTCCTTCGGTTACTTCATGGAGGACCCACACCACAGCAACGAGGTCTTCATATTGCTCTCCTGGCTCCCCCTGGTCACAGCGGGTGCGCCGTGTTTAATCTGGGGCAGCTTTCAAGACCTTTGCGATACTTCGCTATTGTTGGTTTTGGGGTTTCTGTTCGTTTACATGCCTCTGCTGGATGAGCCCCGGGTACTTCCTTTCCTGTGGGTCTGCTACAGTGTTGCAGCTGGAGCAAGATGCGCTGATCTCCGTCTCCGCGCGTCCACTGCTTCGGGCGTCGAAATTTCCAGCTTTGGAGTGCGGGTGCTTTTGTTGGAAGCAGTATCTCATGCCGCACTAAGGGCGCGGATGATGTACCTCAACCGGACGCGCATGCCTCTGACAGCATCGCTTCTAGAAGAGAAGGCCCAGCTCCTCCAGGTGAAGAGGCCGATTCGTGCCGAGTACTGGCCCGACCGATTGGACGGAGACGCAGCCAGGATTGTCCGACAGGTCCGAGCTCGCCGGCTGCGGTGCAGAGAGGAATTGACGGGTGCTTTCGTCTGGGCAATCTACTTCTCACACAGCCTCAGCCCCGACTTGCTTCTGCACATCCTTTCCTTCCTTCAAAGCGTTCCTTTACGGCCATCTGCAGAATCAGACACAGTATCTCTGGCTTCGACGTCTCTGATTCCGATAAAATCGAACATGGAGCCGTCTGAGTCCTCCTCGATGTCCTCATTGACACTCCTGCGCAGACGTTTTCAAGCACGACTGCGAAGCGGTCTGCATCCACAGCCTGGCGAGCCTGGCCTTGGAGAGGAAGAGAGCGTTACCCAAGGCGGCGGCGGCAGAAGTTGTTCCCCCTTCCAGGTGCTTGGCATCATTCTCAGCCTTGCTTGGATGGTGTTGATACCGCCGGTGATTTCTCGCTCTGAAGAGCCTCTTGCTCTGGAAGCGTAGCACAAGACTGTCAGTTCCAAGCACTCCTTTGAAAAAGTGTCGCCGGATCGACAGCAAGATCGCAACAGGTAACTCAGGTGCCCCGATTCCTGAATTTCCCGCTGCATGAAGGAGCAACAAGCAAAACGCCATGCTTAAAGTCCCCTTCCTATGCAACGCGCCAATCGCCGATGTAGCTCTGCAGGGCGATGGTGTGCTGGGCCTTCACGTCAACCAGTCCCCTTCGCTGTGGCTGCGATCTCTGGGTGCCTGGTCGGAGAGTTCGAGGGAGTCCTTGCCAAGCTTTCTGTGACTGACGCAGGCCAACTGCACTGGGGCTTGGAGCTGCAGGGCATCTCCGTCGGCTCAGGCGCAGGGGTTCCTTGATGTTCAGGTTTTGTGTCACAGGCTTCGGCTATGGCGAGTGCGCAGAGTGTGAGTATGAGTGGAACATATCGACTCTCTCAGAGCTGCCGGTGTGATGCATGCAGATCAGCTCTGGCTTGCATGGTGACAGCGCTGCTGTTGTGTTTCGTAGGGCAGTGCTCCTGCACCATCTAAACGCAAGATTCCCACCCACAGGGCTGCGTGTGCCGCGTGCAGGCGAGATTTCCTTTTGTGCTCCGAAACACAAGCAGCCCGGTCAGCGAACCGCTTGCGGGATGCACCTCGGTTGTAGAACTTCAAGCAATCTCCATTGATCGGGTGGGTACGGATCAGAAAACACATGCCCGGAAACGAGTCGGAAGACCAGAAAGAGTAACAATTGCAATTGTTCCCTCGACAGAAATATACGACAGAGAAACGATGATGTATTCGTGGCCATCACTTCGGGTGTGCGTTTTCGCTAAAACTCGGATTACTTCCGGGCAGGCCGAAATTGGTAGGTGTTGGCATTTTGGCAACGCTTTTTTCCTTCCAGGCACTCGGCATGGCTAAAGCCCTGGCAGGGCCGCACTATGCCACACTACGCGGCCCCTGTTCGTGTGGTCTTCAAAGAAATCCCAGCAGTCAACGGGGAGAGCAACTTTTGGGGTGGTGCCTTCTAAATGCTCAAAGTGCCCGCGAAGTCCAAGCAGGGCCACCCTATGAATGTCCTGGGTTCCTTTCGGTGTGAACTCTGATTCCCGCCAGTACGTTGATCTTGGAGTCGTCTCAATGTTGGAGTCAATGGCACTCTTCTTCCGTAGCTTGCAAAGTCTGTCCGTCACCTGTTTCTTTTGCAAGCTGATTGTTTTCTGCACATTGTTGACGGATTCGATTCCCGGCTGGTGGAGATTCGTCGATCGGCAGGGGGTGCGTCCCTGTGCCACGGGACGACTTTCACTCCTCGCCCCACTCCACTCCCTTGCTCGTCGCTGCACTCCGGGCTTTCCATTTGGTCGCGCCGCAGTTGCTAGTTAGGGCGCTAGGGAGCGAACACACCGCGGCAGTCGCCGCGTGGCGGTCGCGTCGCAAGTATGTTCGAGCGACAGAGATGAGATGTGCTGCTGCCCAGGATGACGGATGACAGAGTGCTCTGCTCACTTCTCACGGTTGCCCTGAACTTTGCTGGGTCGGAATGCAGAAGTACGCTGCAAGCGATCAGCGCTTTTGCACAGGCTTTTCGGCATCAGGCACACGTTCGCCCTCGAGGGTTTGGAATTGTGACCTGCCAAGATGCACGAGCTTTTTTTGCCGCCCTATGTGGGTGCGCGAGTGCGTGGCAGGAATCTAGAATCTTAGATCAAATCTCAAGCGCGCAACCATGCGCGACATGGCATCACAAGGGTTCGCAATGTTGGAGCTGATGCTGTCCCATCTCCCTATTGGGACTGCCAAGCTGCCAAGCCCGCAGAGCAACCCCTCCCACAAAGATTCCAAGCAGTAGCTAGTTTCAACATTTTCAACTCTGGACAGCCGAGGATCCCGGACTCGGGCACCACTCTCATCAATGGCCCCCTCGAGCAAGTGCTGCAGCTGTATGAGGATTGTTTTGTGGAGACTTGTGCTGCACGTGGTATTATCCGATGGACAGGCATGCTTTCGCAAAGCATGACTGCGGCTTGCAAGCGTGGGATCACGCGTTGTCCTTCTCCCTCCGTTAGCCTTGAACGATTCTTGGGGCAGGAGATTTGCCGCAGCTGGCCGCGCTGCATGGAGGCGCAGGTGGCGTTGGAGCAGGCGTGCCCGAGCCTAAACGGTGAACGTTGTGCGAGTTGCTGAGATCCTAGACGAAGACACCCTCTCACACCCAATCTCTCCCCACGATGGTCTTCTGCATTTCTTTGACAGACAGCGAGATCAGGCTCGTGCTCTTGCCCCACCACCAAACCGCAAGAATACCAGCATTGCATGTGGCATGCTGGTAATGTAAGTGGTTAGAGCTTGGACGGTACTGCAGTGTCTGTGATAGCGCAAAGATGGCAGGAGCTCGGAAACCTGACCGCCGAGAACCAGACAATGACGCCAGCCACAACGATTTCGGATCCGTTTTCAGCCGTCCAGGTGCCTTGCGAACCCGTCGTATCTTTTGAGTGTCCAGCGGTCGTGTGCCGGTGGGCTCAGGTTCTTGGTTGAAAGCTCATAGCCTGCGGCTGTCTTGAGAATGTGTGGCTAAGGATCGTTAGTGTCTGTGTCAGATGTGCGCCGTTCGTTGTCTCTTTCACCCAAAAGGTCAAGCCAGCCTTTGGAAAGACCTTGCAGCATTGAGCAAAGCGAAGGCCCCTGACCCAAGCAGAGCCGCAGGCAAATACCAGGAGTGCAGGCCGGGTTTGCTACTTGCACTTCCCGGAAGAGCCAGTCTGTGCACGGAGATCCACCAAGGAGTGGGGTTTCGCTGCTTCAGCATGGAGTTCCGGGACTGGCCGCCTGACTCAGCTTCGGAGCAGTCGTCTTGCGGGATAGGAGGCTTTGGACCAAGCGCTCTTGCTATTCTACGACTCTACGGCGTGTGACTTCCTCAAGCCCGGGTTTTACAGCAGCCAGCTGTGCCGCACAGTGTTGCCGACGAGCAGAGTCTAGCCACAGCTGAGCTCCCATCAGATCAGGGTACCAAAGCGATCATCGCCAAAGTGCTTCACATCCTTGCAGGCCTGGTGTGTCGGGATCGACACGGCGGGGCTTCACTGTGAACTCTTGGATCCTCGATGTTAACGTTTAAACATGTTTAAACGTCCCAAACAGATATAAGTCCAGCATATTGCCATGCCTCAATCCGAAGCCTTCAGCATCCTTTGGCTGGGGAGGGGCATACCTCGTGGGACCCGGGTCCCTCCTGCATGATGTCGCAGATGAGTTGCGAGGTGGGACACAGTGTCGACAATTAAACCCCAAAACAAAGCCACTTTTCAACACACAGCAGCAGCGTTTCAGATGCACCCGGAAGTCTTGTATTGGCCAGGCACTTTCGCTGCGTCCAGGATGTCCAATGCCACGTCTGCGGCCAACCGCACGCAGGCAGTCACGCGAGGCCTTCCGGGACGTTTTTTCGGTATTGATAGTCGACGATGCGCATTCAGGGAATGCGGCTACGATCTGTTCTACCAGCTTCTGAAAGACTCTTTTGAACATCATGTCAGGAATCTTCTTCGTGCGTTTTGGTTTCGAACGGGGGGGACGGCGTTGGAGCGGCTGCTGCCTTGTTCCAAACGCCAAGCATATCCAAGCTTCAGGGCTTGCGAGCCTTGCAGTCGCATTGTGTGTCCAACACCAACGGGTGCCCCAGCCAAATTCCTGAAACTGTTGGAAGTGGGTAGTGTCGTGGTTGTGGATATCATCGGGGTGACGGCTTCCTGTTGGTTCTGGGTTGGCATGGGCCGGCGGTCTGCCGTGGTGGATGTGCTGAAACATGGGTATTGCAGATAGTGGCGAAGTGTTGATGGACGTGCGGGTGGACGTCTGTGTGAACAGTATTAGGAACTCGCATGATTTAAAGCACGAAGACATTGGAACGGCCCTCTTCGGTCCGGACATCAAAATGGAAACCCTTCTCTGAAGGAAGCCGTCGTCTCTTTGCCCTGGATTTGCAGCGCAACGAGACTCCAAGACGGCCTGGTGAAGCCACGACAGGCGTGACGATGGCGTAACTCATGCAAGCAGGGTTGTACCGTGCCGCTTTCATCTGAACATCGGCAGACTGGGAAGGCCTTCGTGATTCATGCAGGCGACATGGAATGGCAGGGTTTAATCTACAGAGGGATCTGTCTTGTAACAGCCCCGAACCCCAGTTTTTCTCCAGTTGATGGAGCTAGACGCATCTAAAGACGTTCACAAATCTGTCAGGTGGTCGAGCACTGAGCATCCAGCCCTCAGACACCTTTCAGCTGCTGCTCCGCCATTGTGCCGAGTGGATCGACTCCTTGCTCCGGAAAGTGGATGGGTGCCAGTATTCAGGGAGCAAAGTGTTTCGGCAGTTTCTGCGATGAGCATCAGTGAGGCTCGTGTAGCCATAGCGTGAAGCACCCAGGAGCAGGTCAACGTGGACGATGAACTGCCAGAGCTCAGCTTCCACGTGGCTGGAGCGGAGGTGCCCGAAGGTTGCATGCCGTTTCCATTTCTGAGCACATGCTCATCGAGGCCACTGGGCAGACTCTGACCTTGCGTCCAGCCGCCTATGTCCTGCAGGTTGGGCCTCAATGCCGGAGATTGAGGTTTCTTATGCTATTCAGCAGCCGTGTACGATCACCTTTGCATCGTGCGATTTGAAGAGATCGTAATTGCTATAGACAAGGCCATGTGCTAGACTCGTGCACCCCTTGCCTAGGTCAATGCAGAAAGTCGCATGCTGTTGAAGTAACTTGTCGTGTGTGCTGACAGTGGGTTGTGTGAACGCTGGCACTCCTAGGCCCTATGCACCGGGCGCCTTGAGCCCTTTCTTTTGGTTCCTCCTGCAATACGCACAGGCAAATATGGACGTGGCATCACCCCACATCCAGAATATCTTGGGCTTCCTTCCGATGGAGGCCCCGGGAAGCGCATCGCGCCATGGTTGAAGGCCCCCATAAAAGATTGCATGCTTGTGGGGTTTACTACGTCGCCAG